CCGTGCTCGAGCCCAGGCTCTAGGTCAGGCCCAGGTTGCCGACCCCAGCCCCAGGCGGGATAGGTGTTGTTTGGTCGCATCGCCGGAAGCCCCGGAAGTACGTGACGCATGCCTGCACATGTTTACACTCCGCAAGCCCCCAAAGATCCAATCCAAATTCAGTGAACCCAAGACCTGAAAGCCGAATGTCGTGGGTGATCCTGAGCACCCGCATTGGAAGGCCAGCCGCAGGCATCGAGCCCTTTGATAAAGCTCAAAGCAGGCCGATGTGCTTTGCGCTTCAGAGCTTGGAGTTTTGCAGAGCAAAGTCGAGCTGCAGCTAAGGGTGTCTTGCCTCGGTCGAATACAAACGCTGCAGCATTCTCACCGTCACAGACTTGTGGCTAAAGCGCACTACATCTCAAACTCAATGCGGCTAAGTCCAACCTCCGAAGTGGTAGGAGTTGGTTTTACCGTTCTTGCAGTTCTCTTGCGGGTTTCTATCTGCAACGTTCTGGGCTCCAGGTAAACTGTTTCCAACGCGACAGTTCTTCTCTGATGACGTTCTCGATTGAGAGAAGTAATCGATAGTTCTCTCAGTTATGCCTTAAAGTCCTTCGAAACATCTGAACCCTAAGCCCTACATGCCCTACGACCCCAAACCCAATTAATCCTTAGTCCCTGAAGCCCTACACTCTAATCCAGAGTCCTAAACGTTGATTAGACTGTTTTACATTGAAGCCTGTGCCAGGGCTTGAGGATGGCAGCTACGCTCTGATCCGGGCCCAGAGAATCCAGGGGCCTCAGTCCAGTCTTGCAGAATTTCCTCAAGTCAGAAGGGTTTTGTAGTGGTGCTAGATTGAGCACTGGCAGGCGGAGAATCTGAACTAAGAGTCCTTGTGAGAGACCCTTAATGTAGCAGGGCTTAGGTTGAGCGTGCGAGGGAGCCAAGCCGTTCGCTGTGCAAGGTCTACCAAGTTCAGAGTTCAGACGCTGTCTTTCAGGTTTTGGGCCTTCATGGGCTTTGCTTCGCAAGACTCCCTTGCTGTCCTGCGCCCCCAATTATGAGTGAAGCCCCAAGGCCAAGGGATCACGAGAACTCACAAATCCATAGCCTGAGAGGCCCGAGACGCTGACGCTGAGCGGCTTCAAAAGACACCTGGAAACCCTTAGCTTGGCCTGTATCCTGAGCTCCGAACTTAAGACTCCCTCAACCTTGAACTCCAAACACCTTTGAACGGCAAGAAAACACTCGCCGAGGAAAGGGATTTTCAAGAGTGGAAAAGAGGGCAGCTTCGGCTTCATCGAGTGCCAACCGACTCGGGAGCGCGCAGCCTCAGGAGAGCCTTCGGGTTCGGGCAGTCTTTGCGTTGTTTAATTCTGTTGACACCACAAATCCTTGAGTCCCCAAGGTCTATGTCAAAGGCTTGAGGCCCTAAGCCTGCGAGCCAGGCATAGCACAAGAACGCAGCTGCTTAGCCGAGCTCTTCACCTAGTCATGAACCCTAGACCCGAGCTGACGATGCCATGAGGACAGATGCGTAGAATACTGCAAGTGCATGGAGAGTTGAGTTGCATGTTTCAGAAAATGGGGCACCCGGGGGAACTCACGGTACAAGGGGAGGTGGGAGATCCTCTAACCCCGCCAAGGTTCTTCGGGCGGGATGTCTACGTCAACAAGGCCGGGTCCCGGTGGCGGTCTTTTATGGACGTTTGCGACCTTCCCCTCCTCCGCCCCTCGAGTGGCATGTGGAGCTCTGGGTGAGCACTTTCAGGATTTAGCCGCCGGCTTGGAGAGCGGCCAGCTTGCCCGGACCCTGTTGGGATCCTTCGGAGCAGTCGGGGCTTTTGTTGCCTAGCTTGCACCTAGCCCTGCTGCGCGATACAAAGCGCAGTTTTCTTACGATGACGTAATCGTGACAGTCTTCAGTAGTGGCAGTAATGAGCAGGAGAACCAGAAGCACCAAGGATCTTAATCGCAATATCCGCAACCATGACAGCTAGACTAGCTAGACTTCGGATTGAAGTAGTTGATCCCTTGCACCATCGGATTCGGAATCAGGGGTCCGAGCGCCGAAACCAGATGTGCGACACCCTGATATCCACCCACACACACACTGTGATAGATTCGGCAAAGAGAAGAGGTCAGGAGAAAGGAAGCATGTTGTATGTTGTAATGGAACATGGTGAAGTTGATATTGATGATGGTAATGAGAATGAGATGAGAATTTTGTTCCAAGTATGCCAGACCGAAGGAGTGGCGTCAGACACAAAACCGGTTTCCCACGAAGGGTCACCACGGCGCCTTGACGGAAAGCCGCTGTTCTGGAGTCTCATGACCCACGCTGAATCACACTGATAGATTCGGCAAAGAGAATAAGATGTCAGGAGAAAAATGTATGTTGTAATGGAACATCTTCTTCTTCCTTCACCGCGAAAGAGGGTTCGCGTTGTGTCCTGGAGCAGCAGCTTAGCTGCCGGCGTTGATGCGCGCTCATGTGGCCTCCTGAGCAACCTAGACTAAGTCTCTCGACCCTGTCTCCACTGTGGCTGGCTCTCCCGCCCCGCAGGGCCATCTGAGCAGAGAAATCCAGCTTGCTGGGAGCAGTATGAAAAAGGATTAGGCAGAATAGAGAATACATACGAGAGTAGGGTTGTAGGAGTCAGAGAGACGGCAAAAGTATGCTTAAAAGACTTGTCGCAGTAGCAGCTTTCAGCTATGTTACGCTGTTCGTGTGAGAAAGAACACATATGAGTTGCTTTGAACGATGCTGGCATCTCGGGCACCGGGCTCGCTGGCTACACTATTGCCATCCGTAAGATACATGATGTTGGAACGCTGCAGGAAAGCTGTGCGATAGTGACCGCTGGTGGTCGTGGCTCCCAGGTGGAAGACAACAGCTGCCGTGTCGTATTCAAACCACTCTACGCTGCAGTCGTGGGAGCTAAAGGAGGGAAACCTTAGCCTAAAGGGAGGGTGGATTGGTATGGGCAGCTTTCGACCACGGTCGTCAAAGCGAGCTACTTGCAGGATCAGGGTAGGCAGATGGCCATCCACCGAAGCGAGCGTGCGATCCTGTTCATTCACTCTTTGGTGGTGCCATTGGTTGACAAGGGCTTGCAGCGTGACCTGGCCTTCCGCGGCGACGGCCGTCAGAGAGGCGGTGAGAAGCAGCGGCAACATCCGCCCAGCTTCCACAACCTGAGAGGACGCAGTGGGGGTACAAGGGCTAAGCCTAGCCTCCCAATGACCAACCAGGCTTGATCGGATAAGCTTGGGGCCTATGTGGTGCAGAAACTCTGCAGCATCTTGCTGGCCCTGTCGGGGCCATCGAGGCAAGCAGGCACACCACTCAGCAATGCGCCACAGGTGTATGACCCGGCCTTGGCTTGTGAACACCTTTTGAAGTGCAAGCCCCAGGCGAGGATCCGGCGGATCAGGCTGCAAGCCTGCCCGTTGCCATGTCCACATGTGGGCAAGAATGGTGGAATTGCCTAGCAAAAGTTGGAGCTGTTGCCTAACATGATGCTCAAACTGTTGCGAGCCTCGCTTACAACCGCTTCGCTGCTTCCTCCACGGCTTTCTCCAGCGGTCCCCTGCCCAGTTTGCTGGGTCTGACCGTGCCTCCAACAAGATGCCAAACTGCTTTGTATGACATCCGTTCGAATGCCAGGTAGACTTCCTGACTTTCGCGGCATCGGTTGTGGATCTCGAGCGTGAAGGGAACCACGTCTGACGCCATGTTGGGCGTCAGCTTTCTCAAGGCATGGAACCTCAAGATGACCCGGGGGAAGATGAGGTGGTTCTTGATCAGCAACAGGTACGTTTTGGCCTGCGCCAAGGTGAGGGGCTCCTGGGTGGACTTCTCGTGCCGGCGGAGCTCCCCGTTCCACTTCAGGTAGAGGAACTTGTCTCCCTCCATCAGGCCCAGCTTCTCCAGGCGAGCCAGGTCCTCCGTGTTGGATTCCAAGGCCGAGACCCGTTCCAGGAGAGCCTGAACGAGGCAATGAACCAGGGTGGTCCTCAAGGTGGCGTTGATGCTGTTGGGGTCCGCCTGCTTCATCGCGTGCCATTTCTCCGCTGCCTGGTAGAGGTCGGTTACCACTGCCCACTGTTTGGCCTGTGTTGCATCCTCTTCCGGCAGGTGAGGCTGCATCGTGGTCTTGAGAAAGACCATAAACCCTAGGTCCATCTGCAAGTAGGACAACGTGTCGGCTTGCCTCAAAACCAGGCGAACCAGCTCGCGAACGAGCTCCCGGAGTTCGCGCTCCCTCTTAGTTTCGACCTCCACTCCACCACTGGTAGCCGTTGCCTCGACGAGAAGAGGGCTGCCATTCCTTCTCGCGTCGCTGGCTTGAAGACCTGACCGGGCCCCTTGTCTCGGCCTCTTCGACCGCCGTGTTGCCGTCCTTGTCCTGGCCGGTCTCCTGAGGTCCAAGGTTGTTGCCGTCCCCCTTGCCGCTAGCCTTCTGCCACTTCTGTGGCGGTTCCTGTGCCGGTGTGCCGCTGGCCTCCGGAGACGCCCTTTTGTCCGCGTCCTTCGTGTCCATGTGATCCGCCCCCGTCGGCGTTTGCGGTGCCGTCGAGAGGGCCGATCCCGTTGCGGGCAGTGCCGAGAAGAGGTTCCCCGGAGACTTGACGTAGCCCCCGAACTGTTGCAGCTCCTGGGCTGCCCTCATCAGCTCCTGCTCGTCCTGGACGTGGTCGGACATGGTCGCTCAGGGCTTGCTGACCTGAGGACGATAGACTGCTGAATCTATGCAATAACTGTCCGCATGTCCAGAGCACTGGGCATGCACGCTGATGGGCCTGAGGAGTCTGCGTGCAGCTTTGGCAGCACCAACGGCACGGCTGACCTACTCCTCCCCTGCTGGAAGCCCACTGTTTGACAGCATCATCTGCTTCCCGTATGTCAGGGTGCTGCTTGCATGCATGTCTAGCCACATACATTCTGGTGCTACACTTATAACGGCAGATGGGACAGTGTCCCTGATTGATTTCGCGTTCCGAACTTCTTTTTGTGCAATGAGCGGTTGCTGTGTTTGCAAGTCTGTGCTTTGGCCAAGTGACGGCTGCTTGGAGACTTCCGGCCCACCTCCCGGTGCGGACACCCCATTAGCAGAGGGGGCCGGTGTCTCCTGGGAAAAATTTGAGGAGGAATGCATCGCTGAGCACGCTGCTTGCACAAAGTGGCCGCAGAAAGCTCGCCAGCTGGAGAATTGCTTGCTGCAAAACGTGCATTCCGGCCGGCCGTCACGTGCATACTGCATGAACTCGTTGGATCTATAGGATCGGGAAGCATAGCCCTGTTTGGTTTTGGCTTGGCTTTGTTCCGGATGGGACTTGCCTATGTGTGTTCTGAGGGCATGTAGGCTACCATACGTGACCCCGCATATGTGACATGTGGAAGCCTGCCGTAGCATGTGCGTCACCTCCGTGAGCGTGCCCGTCTGGGAGTGTGCCTCTGCGCTTTCAAGACACTGCCAGTTCTGATTGAGCAAAGCTTCCCAGCGCTGTTGCACCTCCCTGGGCTGGAGATGAGAGAGACTTGCCCTCGCCGTGCAAATTCGATTGCTCATCAGCGTATGCAAAACCTGGAGAGGATCTTCGGACCCAATCCGACGCATGAAGGTCTGGTTGGACTCGTGTGTAATGTGTGCTGGGCTACGGGTTACTTGCCTGAGCTGTTTGATGACATGTGTCGAATTTGCCCGGCGCTCTGTGCATCAAACATCAAAGTGGTGAGGCCGTAAAAGAGCACTGACCGTACGCAGGCTGTCCAAAGACGAATGCGAGACTGCTCTGGCAAAGACTGGCTAATAAGAGTGCGGTGGAGTCTGTGGAATGCATGCCAAGATTGCTTGATTCTGTATGTCACTGTGCTGCGCTCCCAGTTGGAGTATCCTATCTTAGTGCCTAGATACGTGTGCTCTTTGCGGAGTGGCACTTGGAGAATGCTTGCCCGCGTGGGGATGCGAATGCTGCGTTCCTTCTTGCTGACTGTGATGAGGTCCTTTGTGGCATGTGTTGTCTGTGTGCCGCCTAACGCAAGGATAATGACAGTCTTTTCTACAGCAATGAGCATGCCAGCGGAAATGAGCTCATCCAGGAGCTTGCCGGCTTGGATGCAAGCATTGCGCAGCTGTAACCCTGAATAAATATCCCATGAAATGTGGAAGTCATCGGCATAAAGGGTGAGCTGTTGTTTGCTTACATGCTGTTGTAGCCGATCGAAGGTTAGCAGGGTATAGGCCGCCCAAAGCAGCGGCGCCAGGCCGCACCCCTGGCGTATGCCCGTGGCCGTCCGAATTTCTTATACGTACTCGTCTCGGGTGAAAACGAGAAGCATGTTGTAGGTAATGGAACATGATGAAATTGATATTGATGATGATAACGAGAATGAGATGAGAATTTTGTTCCAAGTATGCCAGACCGACGGAATGGCATGCGAAAACAAGATGAGATGATCCGTGAGGGGTATGGTTTCGGCCCCTTGCTACGCCAGACACACAGGAATGACGTAGCACGAAATGAGATGAAAGATGAACGAACATGATGGTCCCGCCAGCTGCCCACAACGGGGCCCAGGCGCAGACCAACGCAGGTACGTTTTCCTGGATTGTGGAGGAGAGCTTCGTTGGGCGGAGTTCTTCCACAAACCCTCCGCCCCCCTGCATAAATGGTTGAAAAACGAAGTTGAAGGAGTGACCCCCTGTGTGCTAGGGAGGTTTACAGACACACACCGGTAGACGGCAGCCAATTCTGCAGCATGCGTGCTGGACAAATTTGACCATGTCGCTTGAACACCGCTGGCATGCTCTGAGGTGTGCTTCAACGTCTACCTCAACCGGGACAACATGCCCAATGCCGAGGTGCAGCCGGAATGTCCTGAATCTGAGGATGGCAGTATGGGAGGCTCTCGGGTATGAGGTCCAAGCAGGACGACCAACTGTTAAAAGTTGAGTGAAAGGTTCTCCCATACTGCTTGTGCCCCATGGCTTCTGCTGGTATAGTATCGGGCCCGCACCAGTGTCATGTCGGCACGGGGAGGTTGGTTTCGATACCGTATTGTGGGTCACGGCATCGGGCTCCACTTAAAAAATTGTCATACTGTTTCGATTTCTCGGGTTTGAGGTTTCCAGACGTGGGCAGTGTTTCCATTAGAAGGCGGAGATGGGCGGCAGATTCTGTTCTTGGTTTGTGTCAAGACGAAGATATCGTGTGAAGGCAATCTTCGGGCACGAGATTCGGGAGAGTCAGCACCGACAACAGCGGGATCTATTTCACAGCTGTCAGCTTGTTGCCACGACTTCGCTCAGTGGTGGTAAGTTTAGTGTCTTGTGGCCTCTCGAAGTTTGGGCTCTTGTTTGGGTCTTTAGAATCCCGTTTCTGCAGCCTGTTAAATGTCGTCAACGAAAACACCCACTCCCTACGTTCCCCGTGTCTTCGACAGCTGCTGAACAAATCAAGCCAATCGAAGCTCCCACATGTCTTCAACCCTAAACCCTGAGAGTTGTCCGAGTGTGAGCCCCGAAACCCTGAGAGCAAGCTTGTAGTTTGAACCCCTAACTCAGAACCCTAACCCGGGTGTCGGCTTGGAGATGATGTGGGAGCCCAAGAATTCGAACGCCTCAACTTCAACAGCCGCGCTCTGTGTCCTCACTTGCTAATAGGAGCTTGACAACCAGAACCCTCAGCCACCCCCGAGTGCTCTTCTAGCCTTTGATAGCTTCGAAAGAGCTCCACAGGTTTCCAACCCACCAACTTCTCCACATCTCGAGGACTCTTACAGAACCGCAGAGCCTACGCTATCAGACGGCCATGATGCCATGGCGCCCTGCCGTCGCGGCGTGGCACTCTCCCTGGCCTTGCTCGCGGCAGCGACTTAACTAGAGTTGGACAAAAATCTGCGCATCGGCTTCCGCCAGTGTTGGGGTTGGGACAGTTTACTGTCGGCAGAGTCCACTCGAATTTCTCCTCGACATCGTGTAGCTCTATGTCCCGCTTTCTCCTACAGAGCTTTTTATGCAACAGCAGCATTCGAGGGCTTGTCGGGGAGAGCTTGGGCTTTGCTTTCCGTTCACGTCTATGCGACTGGTCGAAGGACTTTTGGGGAGCTTACCTGGCTTACCTCGGACACCCCAACTAGTACACAACTCCCAAGCGTGGCTGCTCTTCAACATCCTTGAGTCGGCTAGGGCCAACCAGGGGAAAGTGTCGTGCCTTTCCGAAGATTATCATGCACTTGAGTTGAAAAGCACTCGGCGGTTTAGTGAGCTGAGACCATGAACAGCCAACCCCTCCACCCCATGTCAAAGATTCTCAGACTCGATAATTCAGAGGCATGGGCTTGTGTTTGCAGGTCCGGTAAAGAGCTGGCCTGCTGAAAAACCAAGGGTTAAGATAAGAAAAGGCGAGAGGGGGCCTGGGGGAGGGGGATTGCAAACCAAATGCTCACCTTTGCCGCGCACGAGGTTACTTTCGCCAGCTTGTCAGTGGCCAGGCGGGGAGAGACCGGCATGTGACTTCGGAGACTGCTCTGTCTCGACATCCTGTGTGCAACCCAGCACTGGGAACGAAACCAAAGCTCCGAGTAGCTGTGTTCGAGTTCCCTGCTAACAGGCTCAGGGAGCTTGGACCTGGCCCGGGCCCCCTTCTGATGTCATCTCTCGCCGTTGCACACTTTTAAGTTTCTGCAGCCTTGTCAGCCGTGCGTACTCGGATCATAAAGGAAGATGCAAGCTCCCCGTCATCCAGGATCTGACAACCGTCTAGATTGCCTGTGCGGACTTGTAGAAATCATGCCCTGAACATGCCCGAGAGCTTGACCCTGCCCATGTTGTCCGGTTCAGCACTCCGGGTCAAGGGTTAGCCCTTCTTGTCGCAAAAAACACGAGTCGCCTGTACTCGTTGTGGCATTGAACAAACATGTGTATAGAATTGTATAGGCCTCTGAAGGGCTTATGTCAGTTGTCTCTAGCCGGTCCAGCCCCAACACGATGAGAGCATGGGTCTTGAACCCTAAGCCCCAAACTCTGCACCATAGGCCATCTGGAAACTGTTTTGGTGTACAGCGGCTCGAACCAATGTATCAGCGAGGCAGCCCGCCGGCGTGTTCCCGGACGCGGCTGACAAGGAGGCAGGTTGTCGCGATCAATAATTTGGCAATGGAGTGTATAAAGTGTGGCAACCAAAACAACCCACCCTAAACTACTCTAAACCTTCCTGGATTGTCCGAGGGCGAGCGTCACCTCAACCCAAAGCCCCGAAATGACGGCTGACCCGGATTTGTTCGCAGATTCCTGCTGAGCCCAGTGTCGGCGACTCGTTTGCTTCGACAGACAAGGCCTGCCTTCAGACAAGGTTCACTTGTAACTGTTGGTCGAATTTTGTATCATGGAAATGAACACTGTTGTTGTTGTTGTCATTGTTCTTGTTCTCCCTATCACTGCTACTGCCACCCCACTACTACTACTACTACTACTACTACTACTACTACTACTACTACTACTTCTACTACTTCTACTACTTCTGCTACGACTACGACTACTTCTGCTACTACTAGGACGACTACTGCTACGACTACTACTACGACGACGACTACCACTACTTCTACTACTGCTACGATTACTACTACGACTACTACTGCTACTACTACTACTACTACTACTGCTGCAGCTACTACAACAACTACTACCACTACTACCACTACTACCACTACTACTACTACTACTACTACTACTACTACTACTACTACTTCAACTTCAACTTCAACTTCAACTTCAACTGCTACTGCTACTGCTACTGCTACTGCTACTGCTACTGCTACTGCTGCTCTACTACTCGTGCTGCTGTTGCAGGCTGCTAGTACTTGTACCTTCTACTTCTGCTTCTACTTCTACGTCTACTACTTCTACTACTTCTACTACTTCTACTACTACTGCTTGCTCCTGCTACTGCTGCTGCTACTGCTGCTGCTACTGCTACTGCTACTGCTAATGCTGCGACTGCTCCCGCTACTTCAACTGCAACTGCTACTGGTGCTGCTGCTACCCGCTACCGCTACTGCTGCCGCTACCGCTACCGCTGCTGCTACCGCTACCGCTACCGCTACCGCTGCTGCTGCTGCTGCTACTGCTGCTGCTACTGCTACTACAGTTTGCTGCTTTTTCTGGTTATTGCCATCGCAAGCCCGAGCCATTCTCGGAATGAGAGATGGACTTTTCTCCCTCATCCGACCAGACCCAGTGCGAGAGCACCAAATATTGGCCTTGCGGGTTTGATTTAGCAGCTGAGATGCAGCTCAGCAGTGGAATCTCTTGGTTCACAGGGGTTCACGCGTTGGACATCAAGGTTTACAGCTTTCTTGATGCTGCGTGTTATCACGAACCCCCCCCACCTGAAGCAAATAGTATATATGTACACATATCTTTACTTGTGTATTGTGTATATATATATATACATATGGTCCTGGTTGGCTACACAAACACTGCGATGAGTTCAGAATAGGCATTAACTGAGCAGCAAGCAAGAATGTTAAAGTAGTTTAGGCTTCATGATATGCGACATCAGGGCCGATTCACCTTGAATCGGGCCGGCCGATTCAAGTTGGGTCGGGCGCCGGATTGAAGATTGAAGATCCCTGGAAGAAGTTGTCCAGGGATCTTCAATCTTCAATCCGGCCCTCGATTCAAGTTGAATCGGGTCGATTCAAAGTGAATCGGCCCCGCCAGCACACACCACGAGTACGAGTCACAAGTACTTTCATCACAGACCACGAGGCAGAATCGTTGTTATACGGTGTTATTATTACTCATAGTACTGTTTCTGTTTTCCACATTTTCCTACACCTGCCTTTTAATCATGGAAAGTCCAAACAGAGAAAAAGCGCAAAAGAGTACTTCTGGAGAACGTAGGCTTGAAGGCTTATAGGGGAGTCTCCCCGGCAACCCTAATATCTGAGTCTAAGATGGATCGTTTTCGCAAACTTAATATCACTCGTAGTTGCTGCTAGTATTGATGCAGGCAAGCTGGATACGGCCCAAGTAGTAACCCCAACGGTAGCCATCATATTCATGCTAATATTAACGGCCCAACCATGTTGTTCATAAGCATGCTCCTTAGCTCTCTCAGGGGGTGTCGTTGTTCCGTTGATGGCCTAATGGCTTGCTTACCTCGATATTCAGTGATAGGTGATTAGTCCTTGCTCACTGCAGATGTTCATGTCGGACTTCAACATCAATCCGGCACTATCCTTGCCTTAATCCCTTACATCAGTTCTGACCCTAATATTATCCCTGACAATCGCGAGTAGCCTCAGTACGACCTATCATATAGCCCCAGTGCTTCAATTCGTAGTGGCGCGTGTGATAACCTTATTCTCCTTGTCTGTGTTACGCCTGCAGTGCTGGCTTTTAATCGCACCAGCACAAATTATGTCACGGCACTGCCTCTGCAGCAATGCATGTAGGCAGCGTGCACCTGTGTCTCTTCCACGTCTGCTGTTGCTCTGTCTGCAGTAGATGCAGCACTCTCTGGCACCGACGTGACAAATACTGGCAAAACTATTACGCAGCAGACGCGTTTGAATGTAGGTGGCAACGGCTTACTGGCACAAACATGGTGCAGTATTCCTTGCAACCTAGATGACGATATTTTATACACAGAAGCAACCTAGATGACGATAGTTTATACACAGAAGCACACGAAAACGGAAAAAGGTAGGTAGCGGAGGGGGGGGTTCAAATACATATACATATATATACATATATACACACATACATATTGCTTCAGGGGTAGGGTTGAACCCAAGATGGAGCCACGCAACCCAGAGCCAGCATCTTGTGCCGCATGCACCCTTTAAACAGGGCCAGAAACCGCCACAGAGAACTTCATCCCCAAAACTTGAACCAAAACCCGAAGCCCCCTAAACAGAGAATTAGCGTTTCTGATTGTCGGACCGCAGGATAAAAGCCCGACGGATGTGGGGTCGACGCATGCGTTCGCATCTGGGCGCGAGCAGAGACTTGACCCAAGGGCTCAGGACAGGCTTGCGAGCTTTGGGGTCTGGAGCCTGGGCTTCGGCATTGTTCTGGTCTAGGCTTCTAAACTTAATCAAGTTGTCACTCCTTGTCTTCTGAAACTCCCATGTCGGAGGCTGAGGGCGGCAATTTTTCAGTACAGGATGAAGAGCTTGGGTGGCTGTTTTCTTCAATCCCGAAGGCCCAAGAGCTTCTTCTGGCGAAAAGCCTCAAACCCAAATGGCCGAAGCTCCAGCCAACGTAATTGCCGAATGGAAGCTTTAAATGCAGCCCGTCAACGAACTGACGGTCGACCCTGGCAGTGCTGAGAGTCAGAGCAGAAAACATTTGCCAGGATGCCGATGTGTCGAGAGTTCAAGCGATCCCGAAGCCGGTCCTCTTGGCCGCAGTAGCGTCACTAGCGCCTTGGGGTTTAGAGTTTGGGGCTGTGACATTTGAGAAGTACATGTATACCATATGGTGCCCGCACGTGCACTACGGCCACGGCCAGACAACACTTCATGTGCTTGGCATCCCCAAGAGCCGGAACACGTGGACTTGGGGCTTACACAGTTGGAACCACGACCAGAAAAGGATTCATTGTGGGATCCAGAACCAAATCGGCAGTTGCTTAGCTCTTGACACAGTACTTGCTTCAGTTACCAGCGCAAATCCTGCTTCTCCAGGAGGCTTTTTCGGAGGAGCCAACTCCGATATCTGCTCCTTCACGGACCAAGAAGGCTGCGAAATGCTTTGCCACTCAGCAGCAGAGCGTACACCGCTTGCAAATCTGAGGGGCGTGCAGGTGAGAAGGGATAGCTGTTCACCATTCTCAACCTTCCCGAAGAGTATCCGCGGACTGTGACGATCGCCACTTCCACTCCCGTCAGCATCTTTATCCAAGCTACAGTCAGCAGCACCACATCGGCCAGCATGCACACCACTGCTACTGCCAAACAGCACGCTACGGTCAGTCCTCGTCTGGCATGCGTGCTTAGGCTTCAGTCTTTGCCTCAGGGATTCTATTCGAGCGGTAGGCTGTGCGACGGATATTCCCCTATTTCTGTTGAATACAGTTTTCACGCTGTGTAGTAGGTTCTTCCGGTTGGGAGTCTGAGTTTTAGGGTTTAGGGCTTTTGAGCCTTCGGGGGTTTGCCCGGAGGCCTCTTTAAATTGTTATGCTCTTCCAGGATCTTTGTTACCTCAATATATCATTTAATCTGATGCTTGTCTGAGGTTGGGATACACGATGCCACTCATTTGCTTCCTGCCCTGCCTTTCCGGCCATGTTCCACTTGACAAAGCCCAAAAGCGTGGGTCAAGGAACTCAAGATTCCAATCGTTGCTGTCATGCAGATGTTGGGTTATGGTGCTTGCCAGGATGGGTTGTTTGGTAATGTCCCTTGGCGATGGTATGGACGCTGCAAGCGTCACTTCTTAAGGTGATGAAGGGGTGTGTCTTGAGGAAGGTGCTAGTGCTCATGATGCTCATGATGGTGCAGTGGTGCGACGATTACTCTGCTTCAACTGCTGCCAATATCCCCAAGCACCTCACTATGAGCAAGAGGCCAGTAAGTTTGCAAGAAGGGGTGCCTTGGATTCTTTTTTGCGAACTGCAAAGCTAAAATCATGCAAGCACTCGAGGGTGCTGGCGCACCCTGAGGGCGTGGGTTGCCGTTCTGATATCGATGACTTTGATGATCAGGGCCGGTGGTGACAATTAGGCGGCCTTATGGCCCCTCGGGGCCTGAGGTGAAGATGGACTTCTGCCGTGCGCCCCAGCCGCAAGATGGCAGGTCCTGTTTGCTCAGTGTTTGGTGGGGTTGGCCTAAGAAGTTGCTCGCGATACCACGCTTACGGGCGGGGCTTTCAAGGTTGGAGCTCAGGATTTTCCTGATCGGATGCTGTTACAAAACTGCATCTGGCAGTGATGCTTTCTGCATGCCAGGGCACGGTAGGTGGAGTTGGCGTGCGGGGGAAGTCCGCCTCCCTCGCTCAAACGTAGTCGAGGCTTGAAAACCCAACGCCCGAAGCCTCAATAGCTTCTCCGCGTCTCTGTCTCTTGGGATCTCGTGTCATGCATAGTGTTCTACTCCTAAAACTCACCTCCATCCCTCTGCACATCGCAAATGCCAAATCCAGACGTGTTTTTTGAAGAGAGTCCGATCCCTAAATCTCTGAATCAAAAAGCCCAAAGGACTGGGAAGGCTTTGCCGGAACCTTGCGGTACAACCAGCACGTTCTCGAGCCTCGGTGTGTCACATGTATAGAGTATATAGAGTAGGCTCAATCAAAAAGCAGCAAACGAGCGGCTTCTCTTGACCAAAATGACTAGCTGAGGTGAGTCGTTGCCGTGCTCAGAAACACAAGCCAAAGCAATAAGGGCCGCAAGCGTGCAACAGCCGAAGATGCTCTCGTCGCGGTATGATGTTGCTGGTGCTCAGCTTGGCCACCGCAGAACACAGTCGGTGACTCCAGGCCCAGCTGATGCTCATGATGCTCGAGCCGTGGCCACGGTGCCCCAAACAGCAGGCCAGCTGATGCTCGTGATGCTCGAGGGTGCTCAGCTTGGCCACTGCAGAAAAGAGTCGGTGGTGTTTGCCCAGCTGATGCTCATGATGCTCGAGCCGTGGCCGCGGTGCCCCAAACAGCAGGCCAGCTGATGCTCGTGATGCTCGTGGTGTTGCTGGTGCTCAGCTTGGCCACTGCAGAACAGAGTCGGTGGTGTTCGCGTCCTGCTCTCCATGACACCAGGCCCCAGCTGATGCTCATGATTCTCGAGCCGTGGCCACGGTGCCCCAAACAGCAGGCCAGCTGATGCTCGTGATGCTCGTGGTGTTGCTGGTGCTCAGCTTGGCCACCGCAGAACACGCTAGTACAACGGCCACTACAACAATGCTACTACTACTACGACGACGACGACTACTACTACAACTACTACTACTCCTGTTGCTGCTACTACTACTACTACTACTGCTACTACTACTACTACTACCAGCATTACTACTACTAGAAGTGCTACTACTGACTACTCCTACTCCGTCTACTACTACTACTACGACGACGACGACGACTACTACTACTACTTCTACTACTACTACTACTACTCCTACTCCTACTCCTACTCCTACTCCTACTCCTACTCCTACTCCTACTCCTACTCCTACTCCTACTCCTACTCCTACTACTCCTACTCCTACTCCTACTCCTACTCCTCCTCCTGCTGCTGCTACTACTGCTACTACTACTACTGGTGCTGCTACTACTACCACTACTGCTACTGCTAATGCTACTACCACTACTACTACTACTACTACTACTACTACTACTGCTACTTCTACTTCTACTTCTACTTCTACTTCTACTTCTACTTCTACTTCTACTTCTACTACTACTTCTACTTCTACTTCTACTTCTTTTTCTACTTCTTTTTCTACTTCTACATCTACTTCTACTTCTACTTCTACTTCTACTTCTACTTCTACTTCTACTGCTACTGCTACTTCTACTTCTACTTCTACTTCTACTTCTACTTCTACTTCTACTAGTTCTACTCCTACTCCTACGCCTACTCCTGTTCCTACTCTGCTACTGCTACTGCTACTAGTACTACTACGAGTACCAGTCCAAGTACTCGTGCTAGTACACTGCCACCGCCACTGCCACTGCCGTTGCCACTGCCACCACCAGTACGACTGCCACTGCCGCTGCAACTACTCCTCCTGCCCCTGCTCCTGCCGTTGGTGGTATGAGCCGTTTAGTGCATCCCTTGCTTAATTCACCTCAACTGCGCAGTCGGAAGCCCTTCTCGAAACAGTCCCAAGCTCAATGTTTGCGGCCAGATGGCTTGGCTGGTTTTCAACTGCTGATTCCAGTTGAGAGGATGCTAACTGCTGGCTGTGCACCACCCCCATTCCCTTTTGTTAACAGCTTCTCAGGCAGCGGCCGTAAAATACGGCTGCGCCTACGTTTGCTCCGAGCGGCCGAGCTGGAAAACTGCCTCGCACAACACGGGCGCGGTGGACGACTGGTAGCTGGCCTTCTTCAGCTTCATCGGGTCTTTGCAAAGATTTGATAGGTCGGGGTTTGAGTCGTTAACTTCTCGCGGCATTCAGAACCCTTGTTTGCTTAGTAGCCTTGCTATTGTTCTCGCCGAGCGAGTGAAATTCTGCTTCCGAAGCCAAATGACACCGCCAAAGATCCCAATCAGTTGAAGCCAAACCGCAGCAACACCTGGAAAGCACTGGCCGAGAGAACAAAGGGACAAGGGCAGAGAAGAAAAAGCGCGGCATTGGCCACCCCCACCGGTCCCAAACGAGGGGAGATAAGGGGGGGAGACAAGCGTCGAAACTCGACGTTGGCCAGCACAAAGCCCCGGGAACCAGAAAACTAAACTGCTTGGGGGAACAAGCAAGGAGGATGACGTCCGGCCGTTTTGTCGTTCGCCGAAGCACGGCCCGACAAGAGCAGTAAACCCTCCCCTTCATGATTGGCCTTCAAGTTTTAGCTCAAAACGTCACACAGAACCCTCAAGTGCTCGCACAGAGCGTACCCCCAGAATCCCGAGCGCGCAACCCAATAATCCACCCGGAGACCAGAAATACAGCCAGCAACTGACGGCAGCCGAGTGAAGACAACAGGTCCGTGTTTTTGCAGATTTGGGGTTCGGAGCGTTAAGCAGCTATTCACCGGAACCCTAAGTTGCAAAATCTCCTGCCCTACAGGTTTGGCTGCTTGAAAGGCCGCACAGGGGACTTTTTTTTTTTTTTTCGGTTTCAGCGTCGTACGCTCAGTTGTTTACGGTTCGGGGTCCTGGAGGTTTCTGGTACTGGTCCTGGCCCTGGCAGAATTCGCATTCCATTGGGAGTTGTTGAAAAGGTCCAGGCAAGGGATGGTGCAGTTGGTGGCAAGGGAGCACCCGTCGTGTTCGTCGCGGTGCGTTCGTTTGCATATAGAGTCCCCTCACGTACTACATGGTGCCAACTATGACCTATGACAATGCTACAGCTCTCCGCAGTGTGGCCCTTAACCTGGGGGAGCACGGGCTGACGGTAAACCCGGAGCCGCCGAACCAAACCGTAGCTCCTGCAGCTCGCATCTTGTCCATTGCAGAGAGCCGCCAAATCGCGACAAGCTGCGAACATGGGGAGTTGCGATCCGAAACCTCGTCCTTGCCCAAGCGGAAGGCGCAGCCATAGCCAGAGAATCCTCAATCCAGATTCGAAAGAATCCGAGAAGATCCTGCAGAATACAGCCCCGTAGTTCTTTCCCCGCAAGTCCTAAGTGTGCCATGCACCAAAACCCCAAAACCTTGCACGCCAAAACACCTGAATTCCAACAGGCCCGTCTGGCAGAGTCCGAGTTGCGAGAGCGTAAAAGGCCCCACCTTCGCAGGCGGCGTAGCTGTCGGAGATCTGGCCGTCTCACCCAAAGCGGTGAAAGCGCTTCCCGTGAGGGTGGCAAGGCATTTGCGGATCCTGGGTTTAGGGTCTGGGATTTAGGGGTTTCACGGCTTGGGATTGATGATTCGGTGTTTCAGGGCTTCAGATTTCTGGACGGGTCTGTCATGTGCCGTTGTGAGCTCGCACTTTTCTCGGATTATCGCGCCACGAGCTCGCACCCTTTGGTGCCCATATTTGTGCAAGTTGCGCCCATTGTGTAGATGCAACCTGCAGTGCAAGTTTCGACGCGGTGCTGGGGAACTTGGCTGATGGTTCTAAGCTCTATGAGTTCCATTGCTGCCAGGTACTGGTAGGTCCGTGGACAGATCTTTTGGCCGTGCGGCGATCCCTCCTGGACTTCTCCCGTTCTGTCCGATGTCTTCTTCTCAACATCTCGGAAGTCGAGCTCCCAGAAATGGAGATGAACTTCCTCTCTCTCTTTATCTTGGCCAAGACATACTTTTCCAATGCTTTTAAAGCCTCGTTGTCCCGGCCCCAGGCCTGAAGCACCCTTGCACCCGAAGCTTGTGAGCCCAGAAAGATCTGATGCCCATGCCCTGGTCCTTAGCCTTCGATCCGTAGGTTTCAAATCAACGACGCCTTCCGAACCAGCCCCGCGGCCGGACAAGCCACCTTTCTCGAGTTTGGGAGTTCCGTCGGCGTCGGGCTCTGCGGTCTGTGCCGTGGGGCTCCAAAGACCTTTTTGGGTCACGCTGTTTCGGGTTTGGCTGTTGGGGCAGCATGGGGCCAAGACCGCCGACGACCCGCGTGGCCTTGTCCACTTTGCAGACCTTAATCTCAAACCCCAAACATCACCCAGTGCCTCGCCTGGCATGTCCGAGTGTGAGTGCGGAAAGGCCTCACCGCTAAACCCTGAAGAGGCTTCAAAAAAGCGACACAAACTCAACACTAGTAGCTTTGTTGCTGCCCAAACCATGAGTCCTAAGCCCCACATATCTTTCGAAGGCTTTCGAAACTTTCATGCTGTAGCTTGTCAGGAAAGAAGCGCACGGCGGGTATCGATGAGCCGATGCTTGGCGCCCACTCAAAGAGTGCTTTGAGGATAGTTCCCTGCTTCTGCAACCGGCCGCGCTTCAAGCAACCAAGCTTCGAGCACCACGCTTCCAGCACCACCAACACCGGCAACAAGCACCAAAACAACACCACGCACCAAAGACAAAGCATTCAACAACCTTGCCCTGAGAAAGTGATGCAGCAGCCGCAAAACCGCAAACGACAAAACACCAATATGTAGCAACGGGCCCATGCATTGATGCGGAGGTTTTGGTTAGCGAAATCGTTGTCTACCCTTTAGGGTAGGGTGGGGCAGGGGTTGAGTTGGCAAGGAGGGGGTCAAGGGGGCTGCTGCTGCAGAGAGCGGTAGGGTAGGGTAGGTAGGACAGGGTTGTGTCAAGTTCGGGCAGGCAAGAAAGGTCAGGGTGGCAGGATAGTGAAGGTCAGGGTTTGGCAGGAAAGGGTTGGGTAGGGCAGGGTAGGGCAGGGTAGGTCAGGGTGGGGTAGGGTGAAGTGAAGAGCAGGGTAGTTGCTTGCGGGTGGTTTAAGGTGGGGTTGTGCGGGGTGGGTGGGTAGGGTAGGGCAGGGTTTGGTTTTCGACAGAGTGTGTTTTGGGTCAGGCAGAGGGAAGGCAGGAACGAGTCGTTAGGGTATGGGGTGGGTTAAGTAGGGTGGGACAGGGTTGGGAAGGGGGTTCGGGTAGGCTGGGGGCTTCGGGTTTGGCAGGCAAGGGTTGGGGGTCAGGCGAGGGATAGGGTAGGTTAGCGTAGGGCAGGATGGGGTCAAGGTAGGTTCGGACAGGAAAAAAGGTTAGGGTTAAGGATTGCAGGGCAGGGTAGGTCAGGGTGGGGTAGGGTTGAGTGAAGAGTATTTTGGGGAGGGTAGGGTGTGGTAGGGTAGGGAAGCGGAGGGTAGGGTAGGGTAGTTGCTTGCGGTGGTCGGGTAGGTTCGGGTAGGGTAGGTTAGGGTAGGTTAAATTAGGAGGGTTGGTTTGGATTGGGGAGGACAGGGTGTGTCAGGGTGGGGAGGGTAGGGTAGTGTGCTTGTGGGTGGTTGGAGTTGTGTAGGAGGGTCAGGTGAGGGATAGGGTAGGTGAGGGCAGGTTCGGGCAGGCAGGGGAGGTTCGGGTGATAGGTTTCGGGTTTGGGGTTTAGGGTGCAGGCAAGGAGGGCGAAGAGTAGTTTGGGGTAGGGTGTGGTAGGGTAGGGGAGGGTAGGGTTGGGTAGTTGCTTGGTGGGTTGGAATCCTGTAGGTTTTGTGGCGAAGAGTTGGGCCGGCTTTTGCAGGGTAGGGTAGGGCAGGGTTGGGTTCCCGTTGTGTAGGTTTGCGGGGAAGAGTAGGGTAGGGTTGTGCGGCTGCTGTGGGTTAAATAAGGGTAAGGGTAAGTTAGCACAATGCGGTCAAGGGCAGGCAGGCAGGGGAGGTAATGGTGGAAGCTTGAGTGGGGTGGGTCAAGTAGGGTGGGACAGGGTTGGTTAGGGGTGGGGTAGGTTAGGGTTGGCTAGGGAGTTCGGGTTTGGCAGGAAAGGGGTTGGGGGTCAGGTGAGGGATAGGGTAGGTTAGCGTAGGGCAGGATGGGGTCAAGGTAGGTTCGGACAGGAAAAAAGGTCCAGGGTTTGGCAGGAAAGGATTGCAGGGCAGGGTAGGTCAGGGTGGGGTAGGGTCAAGTGAAGAGTATTTTGGGGTAGAGTAGGGTAGGGGAGGGGAGGGTAGGGTAGGGTAGTTGCTTGCGGTGGTCGGGTAGGTTCGGGTAGGGTAGGTTAGGGTAGGTTAAATTAGGAGGGTTGGCTTGGATTGGGTAGGACAGGGTGTGTCAGGGTGGGGAGGGGAGGGTAGGGTAGTGTGCTTGTGGGTAGTTGGAGTTGTGTAGGTTTTGTGGGGCAGGAAAGGGTTGGTTAGGGTCAGGTGAGGGATAGGGTAGGTGAGGGCAGGTTCGGGCAGGCAGGGGAGGTTCGGGTGATAGGTTTCGGGTTGGGGTTTAGGGTGCAGGCAAGGAGGGCGAAGAGTAGTTTGGGGTAGGGGGTGGTAGGGTAGGGGAGGGTAGGGTTGGGTAGTTGCTTGGTGGGTTGGAATCCTGTAGGTTTTGTGGCGAAGAGTTGGGCCGGCTTTTGCAGGGTAGGGTAGGGCAGGGTTGGGTTCCCGTTGTGTAGGTTTTGCGGGGAAGAGTAGGGTAGGGTTGTGCGGCTGCTGTGGGTTAAGTTAGCGCAATGGGGTCAAGGGCAGGCAGGTTAAATTAGGATTTGACGTAGGTCAGGATGGGGTAGGGTGAAGTTTAGGGTAGGGTAGGGTGTGGTAGGGTAGGGTGTGCGTGCGGGTGGTTGGAGTTGTGTGTAGCATTGGCAGGAAAGGGTTGGGTAGGGGCATTAGGGTAGGGTGGGTTAGGGGCCTAAAGGCTAGGGTGGGGCAGGGGTTTGAGTTGGCAGGATAAGTGGTTTGTTAGGGTGGGTTCGGGGTCAATTAGGGTTTGGCAGGAAAGGGTTGGTTAGGGCAGGGTAGGTTAGGGTGGGGTAGGGTAAAGTGGGGTTGTGCGCGTGTGTTGGGTTGGTGGGTTTTGCAGGGTAGGGGAGGGGAGGGTACGGTACGCCAGGGTCGGTGTAGGGCAGGGTATGGTTCTTCACACTGGGGTGCAGTAGGTTTGGGTAGCAGAAGATGAGATGGGGTTGGGGTTTTGGTGGGTTTTTTTCGGGTGCTGTGGGTGGATGGTTGCTGCAAGAAGTTGCGGTGATGGGGTTCGATAGGTTTTGTGGTCTGGTGCCGGTGGATGCAGTTACGCAGAGAAGGGAGGTGGATGGGGTTTCGGGCTAGGCGGGTTGGATAAGGTAGGTAGGGGTTTATAGGGTAGGGTGGGGCAGGGCAGCAAGGGCAGAGGGTAAGGGTAAGTTAGCAGAACGGGGTCAAAGGCGGCACACAGGGGAGGTAAGGGTGGTCGGAGGGTGTGGAAAGGTAGGGTGGTGAAGGGCAGGCTAGGTTAGGGTGGGGTAGGGTAGAGTTGGGAGGGGGATAGGGTGCGGTCGGGTAGGCAGGACAGGGAAACTTTCGTGCAGGGAAGGGTGAGGGTGGGGGGAGCTTAGGGTCGTGGCGGAACCAGGGCTTGTTGGTGCTTGAAGCAGGTTGGTGCTTGAAGCAGGGGTTTTGGTGCTTGACTCCGGGGTTTTGGTGCGCGAAAACGTTGTCTACCGACGTGCTTTGAGGGGTTCAGGACCAAGAGGCGGGCAATCCTAGATGCCCAGAAGGCAAGGGGAAGAAAAAAGGCTGAAGGGATGCAATGCATCTGCTATGTCCACAACCTTGCTGAAACTGAGAAGCCTCGCCTGGAGATTCGGAGAATGAGAGTGTAAACCTGAAGCCCTAAAGCTCGTGGAGCGTGTGAGCGAGCCGACGGCACCAGGCTAGAAGCCCTCACCCTCAAGTCCTAAGCCAACGCCTCTAACTGTCTAGCCAATCTAGCCTCTAACTCTAACCGTGAAGCCCGGTCATCTCCGAAAACTCAAACTCCTGAAGCCCTGCCCTACACCAGTTCACCCCTGAATGCCTTGACGCTCAATGTCCGAACACCGAACATTTGCATTGAACATAAAACCAACACCGGTCATGCTACCGATGATAGGAGTTTTGTCAAGATGATGCCCTAGGATGCTCACCGGTGCCGCCATCTCGCTTCGCCCGGAGCCCAACGAGAACGCCGTGTATTCTCTGAAGTGCCTGGCCATTCTTATAAAGTCTTTAAGTTCAGGTTTCGGACTGGGCATTCGGACTTTCTGGTGGTTGCTGACCTCTAGCAGGCTTTTCTGTTGTTAGGGCAGGCGCAAGCTCAGCTGTACTCCCCCCACTATCTTCCAATTTTCGGTATGGTCCTTGCAAAGAATCGAAAAGCTACAGGCAACAGTGGTAGTGTTGGTGATTGGCGGCTTGGTGGTAGTTCTGCTGCTGCTCCAGCTGGTATTGCTGCAGCCACCACCACCACCACCACCGCCGCCGCCGCCGCCACCGCCCCTGCGACTACGCCCGCGACTACTACTGCTACTGCTCATGCTACTGCTACTGCACTACTACGACGACGACTACGTCGACGACGAGGACTGCTACTACTGCTACTACTATCTATTCACTACTACTAATTGCTACCACTATTTCTTCTTCTCCTACTACTAGTACTAGTACTAGTACTAGTACTAGTACTAGTACTAGTACTAGTACTAGTACTAGTACTAGTACCAGTACCAGTACCAGTACCAGTACCAGTACCAGTACTAGTACTAGTACTAGTACTAGTACTACTACTACTACTCCTCCTCCTCCTCTAGCTACGGCTATGGCTACAACTACGGCAACAACTACGACGACGACTACGACTACGACACGACAACGACTACGACTACGACTACGAGGACGACGACGACGACGACTACTACTACTATACCACTACTAGGACTACTACTACTACTATTACTACTACAACAACAACAACTACTACTACTACTTCAACTTCAACTTCGACTTCGACTTCAACTTCAACTTCAACTACTACTACTACTACTACTACGACGACGGCTATTACTATATTGTGTTGGGAATTGAGGTCCGCTGTTTGTGAGCAAGGTTTTGCGAATCTACCACTACCACTGCCACTGCCACTACCACTACCACTACCACCACCACTGTCGCTACCGCTGCCACTACCACCACCCCTACCACTAGTATTACTGCCACTACCACCGCCACTGCCACTGCCGTTGCCACTGCCAGTGCCAGTGCCATTGCCATTGCCAGTGCCACCGCCACTGCCAGTCTTCCTCCTACTACTACTGCTACTCCTGCTGCTATGACTCGGCTATGACCACGACAACGACTACCACTGCCACAGCCACTATCACTACCACTACGATTTCCACTACTACTGCCAGGGCCACTGCCACTGCAACTGCCTACCACTAGCACTACCCCTGCCGCTGCCACTACCATTTAATTGTCATTGTCACTATCACTCTCAATATCACTGCCACACTACCACTGCTGCTACTACTTCTGCTAACATTACCACACCCTCTGCTAGAAGCGGTACCATGGTATTTGCGGCGTGAAGAGCCAACTCCTAGGGCTGCAGTAGCAGCAGCAGGACCGAGCGATGGGCAGAAACTGAGGGAGAGCACATTGCCTCACATACCCGAAATCAGAGGATATGGAATTTCCCAATCTTGCCCACGGGCCGGTCTTTCGGGTTTTGTGGGAACCACTTGCCATGGCCAATCGATGTCACAGTATGTCACAACTTAAACCTTACGCCTACACCCAATGGAAGTAAGGTGTCCCAGAGACAGTCGCTTAGTGACGTTCGAGGCTGGGTCGGCTGCACCGTTTTTGTTTAGGCTTTCGGAGTCTGGGGCCGTCTTTTTCTGTGTGGAGCTGTCAGATTGACAGAGGTGGTGGTGGCTCCTTCAAGACCTGGACTGGACCTAGAATATGAGCTTCACTCTTTGGGGAGAAACTTGCGATGACCTGCTAGAGTGAGGCTGACCTGTGGGTCGTTGTCTGTCGTTCCACTGGGGTGCGCCTTGTGTACCATTGGGGCTGCAGCAGGTCGTTTCGTAACTTTGCAGTTCTGCGGAAACCAGTCGTGACTGCTTGGCTCGCCCAGCATGAGAGTGAAGACCCGAATTCTATAGGATATGGTCAGGAGGCCCCTAGCCAGGAGCTGAGTCGCCTTCAATGGAGGATGTGCCAAATCCGCTCTTTCCTTTCCAACCACAGCACCGGAGCCCTGGAGTCGAAGGCAATGGGCCACCACGGGCCGGTCACTGGTTTATAGATAGGCAGGATTACACTGCTTCAGGAGCTTCTTCCGGTATCAACCAGATGATGTCGGGCGCACGTTTTCTCGCACCTCGATCTCTCACTGATCCTCCTGGCGATCCGTACTTCCCGGATCAGCTTCGGCATGGTGACGTGGCAGCTCGCACCTACACAGATGGTTATGGCCATGGCATTGAGCTTTCAAGCGATATGCTCGGACATGAGTCCGAGACTCAGTCAATAGTAGTGCCAGATGTTCCGATATGCATGCCAAACTTTCGTCGCCACAAAGACACGGACCAGGCGTTCCGCCGGCAGATGCCCTTTCCGTGGCAGCACGTTCAACAAGGTGTATCTGACAGGATGCAAGTGCCGTGTTCTGGGGCTGCGATTGGCCAGGAGCTGCAGCTGCAGGAGGAAGGCGAGAACAGGTCTGAATGGCCAGAGGGTCCTCTTCCGAAGCCGTTGAGCAGACCGAGTGATGACCTTGCAGTGCAGAGGCGCATCAACAAGGCTCTCACCAGCGCTGCTCGGTCCAAAAAGGCCGAATGCATCAGCATGGTCTTGCGGGTCGCCGCGGCCAACTTGCATCTGATGAATGGCGTGAACCTGGCGACAGCCATCCATCGGCTTGCGCGCATTTGCGACGGATCGCAGCGGAATATCGAGCAGGTCGCCCAGGATGCAGTCTTCAAGCTCATGTTGGAAATTGCGGAGTGCAAGGCCCAGCAAGAGTTCCAGTTACAGGACAGCAGCATGCCAGGCAGTTGCTGTACGATAATCATTTGGTCATGTGCGGTTCTGCGGTTTTTCGTGCCATCCTTGATGACGGTACTTGCGAGAGTAGCATCCCGATCTCTGGCCGACTGCCAATCTTACGAGGTCACCAACATGTTGTGGGGTTTTGCGGAGCTTTGTAAGAGGGAGCCGGCAAAGGCGGCAGGCATGCTCGGCAGCATCGAGGAGTTGGTGGATGCCGCAGCGTGCATTATGATGCCTCGAGGGCCCGCTTCCTGGAAGGTCCAAGTCCTCATCTCGGCGTTCGTCTCGCTAACAGCTTTTCCCTGCGCCAGTCAAGTCACCACGCGGCGTCTCGTGGTGAGCATCATCCAAGAGCTCGCCCAGCGCAGTGCAGAACTGGAAACTGCAAACTCGCAGCCCATATATACTGCCTGTCAGAGCTTGAGCTTGAATCATCCCCAGGTGTTTGATGACATCCTCGGCATCATTTCGATGAGGAGCACGTCGTTCTTAGCACAGGTCATCTCCAATGGCAATGTGACCAATCAGAGTGCGACACGCATGTACAACTTTTAGTCCTCAGCTTCTCTCTGTATATTAAGATAGATAGAACCTCTGCAGAGCGGAGCTTGGTCCATGATGCGGCGTTTAGCGCATTATATGTGCTGGACTGAAGCAGCAACTAATACCCTGACAGGTTCTGCACCTCATCCATCATAGCGAAATCGAAACCGTCGAAACCCTAAGCTTCCGTCGAACACTTGCTTCGAGGATTGTGCCATGTGCCCCCCAAAATACTGTTTGCGTACATGCTCAGCACAGCAAGCCTGAGAAGGACAAGACTGTCCATGCAGTAGTTTGTCGCCACTTGTCCTTGACATCGGACAGATTTCGGGCTTGCTGCGTTTTGACCTTTCCCTTCACTGGGAAGTTTAGAGTGGCAGTCTGCGTTCTGGCCGACCTCTTTCCGGCAAGACGCGGTATTTCGAGCCGCGATGGTCAGGCCCGAGGTGTCGGATGTGTTGATGAGAAAATCTCGCGTGGTGGAAGAATCGACGAACTTGTTGCAGCTGTTGGGAGCTCCCCTCTTTCTGGCAACTCGCCCCTGGCCTGCGCCTCCATTTCACAAGTTTCACACAGTGCCCACACAAGACAGCAACAGTGTCAGCGAAATATCAATCCGTACCGATGTCGGCCCAGCTCCAGCCGCGAAGGCAATGAGCTTGAACTCTCCCAGTTTTCAGGGTGCATGTGACACCTGCGGCATGGCCCCAGACATGTTTGTGATTCAGCGATGCAAGGAGCTATTAGCAACAAGGTCTGTCACACAGCATGTGTCGTTTACCAGCGAAAACCTTGCTCTGGGGCTTCGCTCGCTCGACTTGTTTCTGTTTCAGTGGATACTACATCGTCTGCCGTATGTTAGAGCATCAGTAGTGAGTTTCGAATTCATCGCCTGGAACACTTGCACATGTGCCTCGCGCACGCAGACCTCCGGCATCAGAGTCTGTCACGGACACATGACTAGTGACACCGCTGCAGTGTTTCCTTTCCATGTCGTGATCTGAAGCGAGAGCCCCTTGAAGCTCGTCGGGCTTGTGACAGCCTGTGACGGACAAATGTGGCGATGTCGGCCAACAGGCCAATCCATCTAATCCTTTATATGGTGGTGCAGCGAGGCACTGTTATCTGCCACTGCCACAACTGCAAAGCAAAAGGATGTCTCGGTGGTTTAGCAGAAGTGGCGCAAATGTTGCATTTAGTCGCATATTCTGTTTCGGGGGCATGGTGGCACTCGGAATCCTTGTCTAGTGTTGCCGAATTCACAGAGCGAAACTTTGGCCAAATCTTGGTAGTCCTCGCGTTACTATCACCACACGAAGACAGGTACAGAATCATGTGATAGATACAGCAACATCGCACAGCAAAAGGTAGTGCTACAAAATACAACTGGCCAGTCAATACAATGTTTCATCCGATAATATTTACATAACCTAGTAGGATTTAGTACAAGCTGTTGTCCTGCAGTATCGCATCCCCACTATATGATATCACGCTACTTTGCGTGCTATACTATGCTATATCTTGTCGTTATGTTGTATTTCGTTATACTATGTTATTCTATATTTTGCTATGTTGTTAAATCAGAACCCGTTCATATCATCCGTTTATACTCCGTACAGGTCCGTATGTGTAAATAATTCTCCATGTAAACACATATGTACATGTATGGTAAAGTAAACAGACAAATACATCTGGCAGGATAGATATTCACCCTCTTAAACCAAACATCCCGACCATAACGTCCGTACAGCCTCATCACTGAGCCTCAACCGTAGAATCCGCAAATCCTTGACCGAAGAGGCCACTTACCCCTGGCTGCGCACGCAATTTGCGGCCGGCCGAGCCGCTGGCAAGCGCAGCACCCCGCTTTGGGGCGAGGCCACGCCCGCGTTCCGCGAGTCTAGACTTTGGGTTATGGGCTTTCGGGCACTTGAGGATTTAGGGGTTTAGGGCTTGCGCTGCTTTGGACGGTGGTAAAAAGGTCCGAGGAAGAAAAAAAATTAGGGCTTAGGGTCGTTATGGTATGAGTCAAGGTAAGGCTGGATAGGCTTGCAAAGGGTCTGTGCAGATGGTTCTACAAGTCAATCTACTTGGGGCCGTGTCCTCGCACTCTCGTTGGATCTGTTGGCCTTCAGGGTTCGGGCCAATGGACCTGTAGAATTAGGGGCGCTTCTTAACGGTTCTTCGCTAGTTAAGGTTTGGTTTCCTCTGTTCCGCAGTGGCCGCCATGGCTCCCTCCGGGCTTAGCGCGTGGCTGCGGTCTGCAGTTGGCCGTAAGATGCACGCTGACAAGATATCAGGGTTCCCAAACTTGAACTCTTTTTCGGGTTCCATGCCGTGCTTCTTGTTACGAGTGCCTCCGTCTCGGGAAATGCATGTGCCCTCAACCTGAACGCATCGTAGCCAACCCGGATAAGCTCTGCAATGTACGGGGCCCCCAGACCCTGGCCGTTCAGTCCTTTCTAAAGCGTTGAACACCAGAACCCAACCCATTTAATGAGAGCTCTTAAATCTATGCCAGTCTTGCATTGCTTTCCTCCTCCGTCTCCTCCTCCTCCTCCTCCATCAACTGTGATATTGAATAATCCTGCTTATCAGCACAGGGACTTGATGTGACTCTAGTTCGGGGGTGCTTGAAATCTGGCAACAAGTAACCACTCCTAGCATGACAAGGCGAAGTGGCGGATCGCAATGCAGCTGAGGCTTGGGGTTTTACCATCAGCCTTAACCCACCCGGCAGGCCTACAGCTCCTGCGAGCAATGTAGGTACGTAGTGCATGATGCATTCAAACCGTGCGTTTGTAGGACTGTTGGGATGCAGGAAGGATTATCGATTGGGGGGTTTATTTCGCACAGCCGGGCTTGACGTTTCGAATGCGTGGGAGAGCGAGAGAGAGAGAGAGAGTTAGAGAGAGAGAGAGAGAGGGGGTAAAGCCCCTACACCACAACCCTGGCGAAAGAAAGAGAGAGGGAGGGGTTTATTTCGCAATGTTGGGCACCGCTGAATTTTGCAGTGCAGTACAACGAGCCAGCAGTATCCGACCAGAGCCAACCGCGAACAAGAAAAGTTTCCTACGCCCTACAATCAAAGGAAAGCCGGCATTTTGACACACTTGAAGCAGAACCCTGTAAACCTCAAGGGCCTCAAGGGCTTCGATTCTCCCGACTGGCACATGCCGGGTGTTTGCTTTCCCTGGCCCACACACCTTACACTTTGCTCGACATGTCCCGGTTGTGCGAGCGGACACCCTAAGTTTGCGAAATGCGGAGGAAGTCTAAACTCTAAACCGCAAACCCTTGGTTCACTTCAACTCAGACCTCGAACCACATGCCTCGCCTGGTCAGTCCGATTGTGTGTTCTCGAAGGCTCAATCTGTCCTGCACATACAAGCAGACATGCACATACGGACAGAATCGTCATTCTCAAATATGTAGACTTATACCTGCATGCATGACAGACATATACGTATGCAGCACTGTGCAGGGCAGCTGCATATGCATGCACTGTGAGTGCAGATTTACAAGTGAAGATACATCCACACATATGTGTACACACACAACTACATGTATACACAGACATGGTGTATATATATAGATATATATACATATGTAGATCTGCATATATGTCATCTGTGGAGCTTACATGCACATACTAATGCATATCCGTTTACGTCGGCACAAATCTACATGCACATACACATACACATTTGAACAGACACACAAGTACATGCCAAAGCAGGGACATAGATGCACATACAATACACACACATACATAAATACATACACAGGTATACATGCCTACGTTGGCGTACATACATACATACGTACATACAAACATATACATACATACCTACACACATACGTGCCCACATACCTATGCATACCTACATGTACACACATGTGCATACATATACATGCACATGCCTATACATGTACATACACATACATACACATACATGCACATACATGCACATACATGCACATACATGCACACACACACATACATACACATACATATCTGCATACATGCATGTATGTATGCATGCATGATATGTGTGTATATGAACAAATCTATGCATATAAACACATGCGACAGGTCCTGCATATGAAAATGCACATGTACATGCATTTGTAAACGCGTATATGTATACGTTTAGGACATCCACAGTATGCATACATGTGTATGTATGTGTGCACGCGCGAACGTATGTAGTTACGTACAAACGATTGCATGTATGTGCGTAGACGCACATGCAATTGTGATAATACATGTGTATGCAAGTTCGCGCCTTTAGTATGTATGCTCGCTTGTTTGCGCATGTACGAGTGCATGTATGTGTGCTCTGTGAAAACGTATGCCTATGTGTATGTGTTTGCAAGTATGTGGATGTCTCACAGAGAGTGTGTGTGTTTGTGCATGCATAGGCATGTCTAGAAGACTACTATGCCTGTATCTGCATGTGTACGTATGTTTTTGTATGGGTCCGATTGTATATATGCCCATCGGCATGTACTTCAGTGTATCTAGGTTTACGCTATGTACATGTCGCATGTGTATGTGTATGTATGTAAGTATGTATGTAGGCATGCTGGCATATGCTGGCATGGAAGCATGTAGGCATTCATGTAAGCATGTAGGTGAATATGTTTTTATGTATGTATGTATGTATGTTTGCATTCAGGCCAATTTAGGCACGTAGGCATGTATGAATGTGTTATTGCAATGTAACGAATGTATGTATGCGTGTATGATTGTATGCGTGTGTCTTTTTGTACGTGTGGCTGTGTGTCTATTTAGGCATGTCGACGTGTATGTATGTATGTATGTATGTACTAAAGTAATGTAATTCATGTATGTATTTTTGTATGCATGTGCGTATGTATGCATGTGTGTATGTATGTATGCATGTGTGTGTACGTATGTACATATGCGGGCATATATGTATGTACACATGCATGTATGTAGACATGCCGGCATGTGGGAATGTATGTATGCATTTATGTATGTATGTATGTAGGCATCAGTATGTAGGCATGCAGGGTTGGATGGATGCCTGCCTACCTGCCTGCCTGCCTGCCTACCTACACTGATGTACTTACACTCGCTCACATTCACGTGTGCATACACGTACACGCACCTACCCTCTTACATGCCTGCATACATGCGTTCCTCCGTCCATCAGGCATACATACTTGTATACAATTAAGTATGTAAGCAGTGTGTGCACAGACTGTCCTGGTTGGGCTTCAAATCCAAAATTTTCAATTTCCGAGCTTTACGACAGCCGGCATTTTCCAGGATTCGCAGGTTCCAGGTCTGTGAAGAGATGAAGGTTCTGCGAAGCAACATTCTGTGTTTCTCCTCAAACTCGCAGCACCGTTTTGGGGCTTTTGCAGTTTGGTGATGTTCGATGCCAACAGCGCCACTCCAAGTCACTCAGCCTGATCCCCGCTTCCAAGGCGTGGCGATCGTCCGAACATGTGCCCGTTAGGCAGCTTTGACCAGCAAAGAAACGTAAACCAAAACTTTTCAAGGGCGGGCATGGAGTTGCGGCAATAGTCAAGCTACTCCTGGCGTAAGTTGTCAGATGCCGGGCAGGGGGGTAAGTTTCGGGTCTTGGTTAAACGGGCTTAGGATTTAGTCTCAGCGTCGGCCCACAGTCCGGAAGTCGGTCAAGTGCCGCACTCGGCAAGCCCCTCAACTTACAAACCATCTCCATGAACCCTAATTAGACCCTAGCCCGCAACACAGAAAAAACAATCTGAAAGAAGTTGCACTTTCGGGAGCTTTCCGGTTGGTTTCGCACCGACTCGATCTGGGGGCTTGGGATGGCTTGGGGTTTGACATAGCAAGCTCCTGTCTTCGAGGGGGTTGTAGACCCGAAAGTCGGAACCCTCGCCTTGGAAGTTGACAAACAGGAATTGCTGGCAGAAGGCTCGCTCCAAATATCCACGAGTCCCGAATCAGGGTTCAGCCCTGAGCTCTCTCGCCAAAGAAGGCATTTACCTCAATGCCTTGCGTCACCTGGTCCGCTCGCTGCCCGGCGCGTTCACCTTGCAGAGCCCTTCCTGGAGTTGAGTTCCGGGGTCGGGTTGGTACCGCGTACTGCTTGCTGTGATGTGGCGTTTGATATTCACGTGGGCCTGAGGACCTCGGGTTAGAAGCAGGGTTTCGGGTTTATGCTTGCTGCATTAGACTGGTCGATTTGAGGTTGGGGCGTGTCGCTTCCGGAAGGTAAGTGCCGGGTCAACGGGTCATCTTGCCAGCAGCCCCTCCGTTGCAGTTGCCCTGTGCAGTTTGTCCAAGCACCCTCAGGTCAAACAAGGAAACCACACCCACACCTGGGAACCACACAACACCGGCGACTGCTTTCAGCCGGTTCGGCTGGTTGTGAGTACAGTTGACCCCGAACCCATGAGAGGACTGGCCCTGAACACGCAAATCCGCAAATCCTTACCGCCTACAGTCCAAACCTTGAAGGGAGAGTCCAAACCCTCCCGAGCCAGATCGCTAAGCAGAAGAACCCGAAAGCCTTCGTCGAAACCCTGAACGCTCAACCCCAAGCAGAAAATACCTCTAAGCCGCTAAGCCCTGGACACCCGACTTTCATTGCTTTGAGAGCTGACTGAGCCTTGAGGGCATGGATTTCACAAAGATCGACGTCGCGACAAGCGCCGATCCTAAAGCCCAGATCCCTTGCCTGGCCATACATCCCAAGTGCCCGCCCAGGAATTCTCAGATCATCGTCGTGGCTGGGCTTTGTTGCAGTTTCAGAGTCCAAGGTGATAGAGGGGTCTGAATACTCAGGAATATGCTATACTATATCTCCAATTCTGCAGGCGTACTGTCTTAAAGTCTTGCTCGTACCTATGCGGCCTCGGCACTTCAAGTTTGAAGCGTTTAGGGGTTTCGGACCAAGCATTACCCGGCAACACCCTCAGGAGGCCTG